ATCTATACCTGCCTATTAAAACTCAAAGACTGATGATCCTGGAGAAAAGAAGCTGAATTTTGATATCACCGTTTCAATTTTGAATTGTCATTTTGGATTTTCTATAGAGTATATTTTTTTCAGAATATTCAATATTTCAATTTAAATACATTTTCACTTATATGGTGTAAAACTTAAAATGTCATGTGAGTTTCAAGTAGTTAACTTACTCTATTAAAATATTTTTTCCATTGGCCATAAATCTTGAGGCAAATGCTTTTATGTACAGTTGTACTGTAGTAATTTCTATGTCTCATTAGTTTAAAGGTTAGGTTGAGTAAGGTTAATTTAGACAATCATTTTATGCAGTTCATAGCTACAGCATTAATATGAACTAAAATGTCTTAATTTATATGTAAGTCAGTCTAGTGATTGTGAAAGTTAACAGCAAGTAATGTGAGAGGCTAAAATTTCTATTTATCTATCATCTTGTTCTTCAGTACAAAAATCACTAGAGGGTGGATTCCTAAGGCCTATAATTGGGAATACTATATAGAGTGACATGTATATGCGATGAAAGGGAAATTATTAGATGTATTAAAAGTAGAGAATTCTGGATTAAGAATCCTGAGTTCTTTTCATTATTGTTCTGATGCACTGTATGCTTGGGGTACAGTTCTTCAGCAAGACATACTAATCTCAAGTCTTCGTTGTGAGGTACCTTGGTCTTGTTTTTTGGAGATACTGAATTCTTTCATGTTCATGTAAATGGAAGAAATGGAGCAGAGGTGGGGAAGAGAGGGAAAAGTTATGTGAGTTTTACAGGTATAAAATAAACACATCTGTGAATTGCTTTATTTTTTTAAGAAATATGTCTTGCAGAAGATCATTATTGCAAAATGATTAGTATGATCTTGTCAAGAAGCTCAGTAAGAGCATTGCTATCCTTTCAGTCTTTGAAGGATATGGAATGAATGGGACTACTTACATGCTTAATGTGAAGGAGGTAGTTTTGTACCTTGCTAAACTGGGATCCAAAGCAGTGCCCATCTGTTTTAGTTAATGAAAATTCTATGAAGTCCAGTTGCTGTGTCAGTCCAGCTTCAGAGGGTGGAACCAGGAGACTCTGAAGGGCCCAGATTTATTAGGTAGGAATCACAGATGCACTACTATAGTATTTGTAGTATTCACTGTCTTGTACCGTACCACACTGTTACCCATCTCCATCAGTCAGGTTTGTGCTGCATCCATACCAAAGTATCAGTACTTAAGCTGTGCAAAGTGGGGCTATACCCAGGACTACAAACTTTAGGCTTGATTTCATAAGAAGGGAATAGTAACAGGAAACACAAAAAGAGTATTACCCCCTTTATATGACATTTGCAAGACCAGTACTAGAATACTAGCTATAGGCTACCCATGTTTTAAGGAGGATGGGATTTTATTAAAAAATGAGAACTATGGCTAACAGAGAAGCTCAAAGTTAAGCGTTGACTTGATCATGGAGTACTGGTCATGTTCACAGAGGAAAGATTTTTCTCACAGTAGGCAACTCTAATCAGTTAGACATGGCAGTCAGACACAGGCGGAAGGCAGTCTCAGGAAACTGATTACAAGCAAGGTGCAAATTTTAACAACGTTATCAACTATTGAAAAACATACTTGTAGAGGTGGTAGATTCTCTATTACAGTCAGTCTTTAAATCAAGGCTGAATGCCTTTAGGAGATAAGAGTGTAACTCAGATACTGTGGACTTGATGCAGAAATTGCTGGTGAGAGTCAGAGGAGGTCAGACCATGTGGCAGTTGTCCCTTCTGATCTTAAATACCTAAGTTGGAGGCACAGAATTCTCCTAATGCTAGACTGTTTCTCCACGTATCAAGAAATGTTCAGCTAGTCCAGAAAAAAGTTCCAAAAGGCTGTTGCTCAAATTTGATCTGGTTGTGTTTAAGCACAAAACAATTTGGGGGGGATCAAGTACTATCTAGGCGTCCTAATCAGGATGTGGCCCTATTGTATTGCACACTTAGCACATGCAGTGAAATACAGCCCTGGGTGTTAAGAGTTGTTCAGTAGAAATTGAAAGGATTTTTAAAAGCACTCATTGAGATTTTTTTGATAGAGCTCCAGAATGAATTAAGAAACTATTCTTAATGACCACAGGGACTAGTCATCTCTGAGGAAGGGAAAAAATAGTAGTCTGGAGAATAAACGAGATGAGATTGATAGATTCTTTTTAATGAAAAGACTCAGGCTGAGAAAATTCATCAGTAAATGTGACGAGCAAATGCTTAACCTTTAGGTTTGGCTTGTGTTCACATTCCAAACTAATGTAGTTAGAGACGCTTAAGCATTTGTGAATGTTGAACATATGTTTACAGAGTAATTATATTTAACATCAGGAAATTCACAAAACACTTGCCATATTCCTGTGTTATGTGCTCTTTTGTATTAATGTTTTTTAAATGTCATATTGAATAGTATATTAAATTCCAGCTTTTTTCTAAGATACCTGAGGTGGCTGCTGTAGAAGATATTTTTCTCAGCTGCAATAATTTCTTGCATTTAAATATGTTGTTAGTATTTCCATATATACTGTTACCTTGACCTTTTCCAGTAGGCCAACAGATTAAGGTATTAATAAACTGCATGATTAAGCAAGTTTTTTACTGTAGCTATACTTGTGCATTTCAAATTGTCAGTTTGTTGCTGATGAGATTTCCCCTCTGTACAGGATTACCTTTGTTCAAAATGTGTTGTGTAAGTCAGTGATTAACAAGGTATTGGCTAATGTAGTTCGTTACATCATGCAATTTTGGTTTGCACCTCTTTTTGCCAGTGGGGGGGGGAGGGGGAAAGGAAAGTTTTTAAACCCTGCTTGTTCATCTGAACTCTCCATAGTGCTCAGATCACTTTCACCTGGGCAGGTTTTTGCAGGACTGGGCAAAGGAATGTTACTGATCATGGTGAGCTGCTCTGCTGAAAATAACTATACTGCAGTAAAATGACTCCCACGGCACTGGCGAGGTCCCAGGGCCTGTCTCTGCAGGTGGCCTGCCTGGCTTGGGCTGGGGACGGGGGCAGCAGCGGTGGGTGCTTTGCTCTTCCCTGCTCCCCAGCCCTAGGGGAAGACTCAGGCTTTGGGCCCCCGCCCTGCAGGGGAGACGCCGTGTCCTGCCTTTCCTCCCTTCGGTTTAGGGCTGCCTGGAGCACTCTGAGGAGCACTCGCACTAACCTGTGCGTACAGGTGCAGGAGAGCAGATTTTTGTAAAAACGAACAAAAATTGGATTTCACTTAGCAACCGTCCCATTTAACAAATGATACATTTGTCACACGCTTCCTCTGTCAGACTCTATAGTACTTTTTCTTTTTTACAGGTCGGTTAAAGCCTGCCTGAATTGCAAGTGCCGCCCTGACCCCTGCTGGCCGAGGCTGGGGGGAAGCGGGGCCGGGCGCGCTCCTCGGGCCGTGACCCGCAGCGGGCTCCGTCTTTCAC